CTGTATTCTACAAGGCGACGATTCTTATTTGAGATATTAGCAAGTATGTTATCCGCCATTTTGTGACGGCCGCCATCTTGATTTGAAACTGTTTTCGTATTACTGTTTTGAACAAGTGCTTCCATTTGATATCCATATTGGGGTGATTGAACAAAAATAATTTTTGTGGTATCACCTCTGAAGCATGGCCTATTGTACTATAAAAAGAAATGATCAAAATCGATTAAAAATTTCCCCTCTTTCATTGAAGCCTATTAAAAATGTCACTTACTGCTCCGATGTTTATCTCGAACGACCGACGTCAAAACTGCTACTGTTTAACTTGGGACAACAAATTATCTGAATACGTCCTTTCTTAGTCCGTACACACCGCCGCGTTGCTTCGACTGGCAGCACGAGATAGTGGATAAAATTCGTGTAAAAGACTATTTGCAGAGGTTTTCGCGCTTCAAAATTGACGCTTCATTTTTGAATATTTTTCAATGAAATTTTCACAGTGCACTAAAAACAAGACTCCACAGGGTGCTATAGAGCCACTTTTTCGTTTTTTCCTCTGGGTTATTTTTTAAAAATCGAGAAGTCGAACAACAATTATCTGCACTTCAACCCACCATAACTCCATAAAAATTTTTTTTTTAGAAAAGTGGCTCTATAGCACCCTGGACAATTGTCTTCTGAACATACTGTATAAATTTTATTCAAATATATAGAAAAATGGAGCGTCAATTCCGAAGCAGCTAAACCCTTGTAAATGGCCTGAAACTCACTGCGTCGGAGCCGCCTTAAGCAAGATTCTCATCCGCTGTCTCGCATTCCTCACACCAGCTCAACTGAAGAAACCTGATCGATACCGTCTTAGTCAAGTAAATTCAAGACTTGCAGTCAAGTTATGTAAATTCACCATTTCAGCAACTAGAGCTGTGTAACTACACAGAAAAGCATAAAGCAATTCACATTTCCAAAAACAAGAAAGCGCGTGGACCTGACGGAATACAAGCCCTTTGTATTAAATCCATACGACTAGTGGTGAAAACGCGCCTTCCGCATGTGACCAACTTTATACTCACTACAGGACATTTTGCAATATAATGCAAATAAGGATATTGTATTTTTCTGCATAAATCTTGTAAGGTCATTACAGATCCTAAATTACTCTGCCCAATTACTCTTTTAAATATTATGGCAAAAGTGGCTGAACGGATTATCCTCAGTCGTTCAAACCCCTGGTAAGAAAAGACAATCCCACACTACCAACACGGATTTGCGAAAGGAAAAGGAACTGCTACTCAAATCCTCAGAGCACCTCACTACGTGTGCGAGGCGTTGGCCAATAAAGATCACGTTGCGATGATATCAACTGGCCTTATTAAAGCCACATATACCACAAAGTACTAGTGTACAAAATGCAACAACACGGTATCCCAGCCTCTGACGTCCACCTTGTAGAGAACAGCGCGCGGAAAACTTAAACGTTTTATCCGGCCCACAGGGTTAGTGAATAGTCTTCGTCAAGGTTTAATTTTAGGTCCGGTTCTAGGGAGCTTATATGTGTCGGATGTTTCAAAAAACTGCATTGCGGGAACTTTTTTCTCACAGTACGCAGATGACTTTGTGTTGAATTGTTTCTCGGATCCAGATCGTGCGATTATCTGTACGAAATGAACATATGCCCAAAAACCTTTGGCACAAAATATTTATCGGATTTTTTTTAATGAAAAAAATTATTTAAACACTAACTAGTTATCATAAATTACAACTCAATACTTAACTACACAATACTATCGAATTATGTGGAGTGGCCCATTCTGCTCTACCAGACGCAACTTTCTTCGAATGTCTCTTATGAGGTCCTGGACGGAATTCAGATCAATTTATCTCAGTTTTTTGTAAATTTGCCGTCGTAATTTTTCTTCACCTTGGGCTTCCCAGCATCCATGATAAATTTCCCAGACAGTAAAGCTCAAAATCCTCTATTGGGCGAGCCTGCGGCAAGTTTGGAAGATTATTGTTTTTAGGAACAAAAGGTATGTTGTGTTATCGAAGCCAGTTTTTGGTATCTCTTGAGTAATTTCATGATACTAGGCTGACCAAGACATGATATGGTCATTACCATGATGTTCGTGGACAAACTGAAGCAATTTGGAAAGGTAGTTAACAATATAGCTCTGACTATTCAAAGCTTCAACCCCCACTCTTCCCACAAAAGGTTGGGATACAACCCTGTTAGAAACTGCGCACCAGACAAGGATTTTATCTGCAAATTTCGCTTTATGTTTTCATCTAACATTGTCAGGGCATTCCACTACGATCACTTTTCAGAATTACTCAAAGTGAAATACTTTTCGTCATCTAAAATAATGATTTTTCCATTGATAAAGTCTACCCGCCTGATTTGACGACAGCATCTTGGTATACGAAGGAGTTGCGCTTGAGAGTATTTGGCGCACTTGAGTCTCTTTCGATATTCAAGACCATTCCTCCTGAATTCCAACAATATCGTACTCTTAGAAGATCTATATTGACGAGCCAGTCTCTTTGTTGGCTTTCCAACCTGATTTTTTGCTCTTCCGCCAATCTTTCTGACCTCTGGGCAGTAAATGCAGGTGGTCTTCCACTTTTTGGAAGATTCAGACATGGTATTCCTTTCTCGCTCTGAGCTATTGTTCGATAAATGGTTCTGCGTGAAATGTTTTCATTCTGGAATATTCGACAGATTTCAGCTTCGATTACCCGCCCAACCAACTGGTAGATACTTTTTCTTATTTCTAATGTATACGACATCTTAGAGCGAGAACTTCAAAATAAATAAAAGTCAATTGACAGTAAAGTAAGTAAATAAACTTTTGTATCCAAATGCATCTTGATATTATTTTTTGTTTGTTAAAATTAAAGCCAATGAATTTTACGTCAAAACTTTTAGGACATACGTTAAGTGACGACCGAAGTGTAATGCGCGAAAAAAAATGGATATATAATTAAAATCAAGATGCTGTTAGCAAGGGTCCCTACAATTTCAAGGTAGCAAATTTGCAACAGAAAAGGCCAGTGAAGCTACATAAACAATCAATCACCGACATAACTCTCCAGTTAGCCCTTCAGCAGTCAGGGTATCAAGGGAGAGGACAACACAATGTCTAAAAACCCTCCTCAAGGACTGGAGGTGGAATTTTTCTGGTCTTAGTATCCCCGTCCACCCATAAAGAAGGCTATATAAAGCCACCCGTGCAGGGCAGATGGGATGGTAGCTGCCTTACGACCGTCGGATGCTCGCACAAATGCAATGACATCGCTCCTGCCAGATATCTGGCACAAATAAATTAACATTGCCTATCTTTCGGAGAGACCAATGAAGATAAAGAGGCGGCAGCATGCGAACGGCCTCGAGCCGCTAAGTATTGTAAACTTTCTTGAAAAATTAAATAACTTTGTAATGTTAAGTATGTAATGTAAATAAATTTTGATTGATTTGATTGACATACACTACCGTTCAAAGGTGTTTGAACACCCAGAAGACAAGGAAACTGACGGAAATTATTAAAGAAAACATTACAATATCTCTGTGAAACAGTTATTTTCTTAATTCTTAACAACATACAACTATTTGTAATCAAATTTTTAACTCATCAATATGTCCTCCTTTAAGTTTAATTACAGCCTGGAAAATGATGGGTAATCGCGCAACTAATTTTTCTGTTTTGAGATGTAAGACATTTCCGTACTTTATGTCCAGTTCATCCCACAGCAACTCTATCGGATTCAAATCCGGGGATTGGGAAGGCCATTGAATGACTTGCAAAATATTTTGTTCTTCTTTTGCTTCCAAAAATAGTTTACAGAGCTTTTATGTGTGTTTGAGGTCATTATCATGCTGAAAGACAATCAATAAGACGAGTCCCAGAAGGCACATAATTTTCTAGTATGGCTTTGTAACCTGCTTTATTCAGCATTCCCTGTTACAATACCCCCCACAGCGGAACCACCAAAAAGGCCCCAAATCATTATAGAGCCTCCACCGTGATTAACTGAAGCGACGGTGCATGATTCTGATGCCCTCTCGTTAGGCCGATGGCGGACAAATACTTGCTATCAAAAACTTCAAATTTCGATTCATTGCTCCAGAGGACCTTCTTACAGTCAGCAACTATCCAACTTTGATGTTGTTTGGCCCAATTAACTGAACTCTTAACGGTAGTCACACTTACAGGTTTACTACGGCCCACATTCAAGTCCGCTGCTATTTCGGGTGCAGTCATGCGTCTACTGGGTTTACATTTCACTATTATGCTTAAGTCTTCAGTGGAAGTTGTAACTCTGGGTCTCCCTGAACGACGGCTATTGGACGTTTTGCCTTGAGCATTAAATTTCTTAATAATGTGGAGTACAGATGACAGTGGTGCCCTCTGAAGTTTAGACATTTTTCGAATACTTTTGCCGGATTTATGAACCAATAATAACTCCTTTTATCTGCTCGGATTATTCTTTAGTTTTACCAATTTTGTCCAGAAAACAAAAATAAACGAAAACCCACTTGTTGAACAATCTTGAACCACAAAGTATTGAAGCACGGTTAGTTTATCAAATGAGACAAGATAACTGAAGTAAAAATGTGTTACGGATTTACGTACAACACAAATTAAAAGAAATAATTGAAAAACAAATCCTTAAAAAGAATTCCTATACAAAAACACATTAATATTATAAAGGCAAAGCAATTCCTATTATGGCTAATGATGAGATACCAATAATAGTTTGAGCAACATTTTTATTTCAATGACTTTTCAGTGATGCTTGATTTCCATGGTGATGGTTTTCAATAAATAAAGAAAAATAATTACGTACTCAATATTTTGTTTGTTATGATTTTAAACGGAAATTTGCGGGTGTTTAAATACTTTTGAATGGTAGTGCAAATCCTCAATTTGATTTTTTTGTGGATTTCCTAACTCCAAAAAATTCTCGTTCTTCGAGTTTTCCGAGTTTCCATTTTATGGCGTACATACCTGGTTGCAGCGAATCTAAGACAAAATGCGGCTTTCCTTGCAAAGCCTATTTGTGTGTATAAATCTGCTAAGGTTTCAAATCTGTCTATTTTCTCCTGTTCAGATAACGTCAAGTTGATGTACACAACGTTTTGCAAGAAAGTGGCTGCTTGTAACGCATGATTCTGTTCCACAGCAATTCTGGAATACAGAGTTAAAAATCTATATACCGGGTGTTCCAAGCTCGACTCTCACTTTGGCAACTTGGAAATGGAATGAGATACGATGTTGGTCAAAGAGGAGCAAAGTTGCGCATTTAGGCAACTTAGGAAATGGCACAAGTTTCATAATTCAGACTACTTTCGGACAAAAAACCGAATATACTTAAAAACGTTTTTTCCTTACATTATTTGAATCTGGATGCTAAGATAAATGCACATAATTATTACTCCATTCACCTGTGCAAAAATCTAATATGGCGTCCATAAGAAGAAATAAAGTTGACGAAACGGCATATTGAAATTATAATTATTCCAGCTTCCAATGCTAACGTCGAATTTATTTTGAAATCTCACCCCAAATAAAGTCAGGAATAAATGAAAATGATGTTGAGAAAACTTGTTTTTTTTAGTTTAACAATCTTCGTATCCCTCATACCGTTTTCGATTTCAATGGTAAGAATCAAATTTGAAACACCCAGTTTAAATTGTTTACATTTTACATTATCTAAAGCCTGAATAAAAAAAAGAGTGGACTTGCTCAAGTCTTAGGACACTATCTAATATTGATAACACACTCAAAATTTCACACTGTTAGTTTCACAGTAATCCACATACCTGGCGGCCTTAAAACAGGCTTCAGTCTCGACAATACCAGCGTTCTGGTACTTGCTGTAATGTATTATTGCTTCTCTATATCGTTTCAAAATATCTTCAGGTGTTAGAGTATTGGGGACAGGTTTTCGGGCAGGTAAAGTCACCGATTGAGAGGCAGAGCTTGATTTTCTTGGAGACCCTTCCTGTAGACAAAGAAACAGTATTTATACAGGATGTTTCAAATTCGATTATCACCATTGGGATCTTGGAAATGATAAGAGTTACTAAGTCGATTAAATGGAACCGAAGTTGCGCATTTAGGTAACTAAGAAAATGGCATTCAGAAAGTTTCGCAATTCCGAGCATTTTCGGCGAAAGAAACAGAATCGCTTTTGTTTTTTCCTGGCTTTATTTGAGATTCGGATTCCAAAATAAAAAGCACATTTTTTCTGCTCTACAAGGTGGCATAATTAGAATTTCAATATAACGTTTCGTCTCTTCTCCTCAATCATAAACATCATTTTTATAGACACCAATTTCAATTTTTGCACAGGTGAATAGTTTGTAATTGTGTTAAACCTTAGTTATTTAAAAAATAATTTTCTAAGTAGGTCTTAAAATTATCAGACAGTCATTTGTTTCATAATATATATATTCTATGCTTTTATGTTTGTTTTTAAAAACAGAGATCTGTTTGATGATGCTACAAATAAACATAATCACATGACTGGGCATAATGAAGATCTTATCTCAGATGACTTTAGTTATATACAGAAAAATGCTCCATATAGTGTTAAAAAAAAATTTCAATAGTTTTCATTTAAATGTAAGTAATTTACCAGAAATCAAAGTTAAAATGATTATCGCTCATTATTTGATCTCTAAGGCATTTTATTCATTGAATGATTGTTTTGAGAATAAAGATAGACTTACTCTATAGTTAATTTACAATATTTTGTACTGCAGGGTATTATATCATTGTTGCTACTATACATAATTTTATTAAATAACGTTAACTATACTGAAAACTGCTGTAATTAAATACAAATATATTGTTCTTGTTTATGATTGTGAAGCCACATAAAATCTTAGTAGTTTAAAAAAATCTTTGTAATTGTATATTTCTTTTATAATTAATTTTAGCTAGCTGATTTTTGTTGTTGTTGATTTATTTAGCACACAATGTCAATTTTGCATAATGATTCGGTTACATATTTTTCTTCAATCCATTTTCTGTAATTTTACATTCTTGTCTATTAAAATTAAAATTACGTCTATGTATTTTGATTAACATAAAGTGATTTTTTAATTTCGCTTTAAACATTTTTGAATTCAAACTCTGTTTAATATCATTATTCAATTTATTAAATTCAAATACTCCCTTTTGAAATATAGATTTACTAGTTATGCTACTATTACAATTTTGCAGATGAAAATCTATACTGCCTCTAGTTTCGTAGTTATGATGATGACTATTTAATTTTGTGAAGTTCTCTAAACGTGGTGGTAATAAATGATTTTTTAATTTGAATATGAAAACGAGAACTAAATAATATATGAAATTTTTCACATCCAAACACTGCAGTTCTTCCACATAGACTTAATCCTAGCATATTTGTTTTTATTTAAAATGATTCTCATAGCTTTATTCTGTAGAATTTGTAATTTTGAAAATATGTTTTCATTTGCTGTAAACAAGATGGTTGAACAATATAAAAAATGGGGAAGAATTATAGTGTTATACACATTTTTTTTTGGAATACATCTAAGATTATGTGAAACTCTATAGAATTAATTTATCTTTTTCGATATTTTTGAAATAATGTATTCATAATGTTCGTGAAACAGTAGCTTACTATCCACATATATACCAAGATATTTAAATGACTCGACTACTTCAATTTTTTCATCATTAATCATGAGCCTAATTGAATTGACACCTAAATGTTTCCCTATTGACATAAGTTTTGTTTTATTAGTTTTTAATTAAGTATATTGACATTTAACCAACTCATAATTTTTTCAATATCACTATTATATTTTTCTCTTTAAAAATGTTCTAAGCCTAGGCTTATGAATAAATAAAAAATTATCTATTTTTCTATCTAATATCTTCAGCGAAACATTTCTTCTGTTTTTATGAACTAGGCATAAGTGTTCTAATGATGTTATATTGTACATATCATAACACGGAGTGATATTATAAAACTTCAAATATCTAAAAAAGGAATATTCCTATAGTTGGTCTCAACTCATCGAATAAACCATAAAACATAATGCTAATTCTTTTTCATATTACTTAAGGGCCGTATTGAAAACAACGAACAGTATTATTTTATGTAACTGATAGAAACAGTTTGAAATAAAAGCCTCGTCCATGTTGCAACTTCCTAAGCACATTTCAAATCCCTCATATTTAAATCAATGCATACATCTTAATAATAGTAATTTATTGACATCAATTACAAATTGTGAATAAATTGATGATGATCAAAAGGAAAATATCCTTGTGTCTGGATATCATTCTAACACATAAAATACTCATATAACATAGTAGCTACAATGAATTGATTGCACTCAAAAAAGAATCTACATACTATAATGTAATATATCTTGCATTCAAATACCATTAATCTATTGCTGACGTGTCATGTAGAGCGCCGCCATCGTGCTAAAATAACGCTTGTTATAGTCGATAAATAGACAAATTATCTGAATGTCATTTAAACACGCTTCTAAGAAATTGGATCATTGGTGATTTCATGGGATAAACTGTCATTTTCAAAGCCAAATATGACAATATTATTTAATTGTATTGTAATGTATGACATATATAACTAAGGTTTGGCAATGTCAATGTATGACATGATATTTTTGGAATCAGAATTAAACACTCTATTCGCCTGTGCAAAAATCCAATATGGCAGCTATAAGGAAAAACAAAGTTTATGATTGAGGACAAGAGACCAAACGAAATGTTGAAGTTCTAATTATGCCATTTTGAAGAGAAGAAAAAGTGGCAGTGCTAATTTAATTTTTATTTTGAAAATCCCATCTCAAATAAAGCCGACAAAAAATTAAAACGATTTTAGAAACAGTCGGTTTCTTCCGGAAATGCTCGGAATTGCGAACTTTCCGTGCTATTTTCTTAGTTACCTAAAAGGGGAACTTTGACCCTATTTAACCGATTCCGTATCTCTCACCGTTCTCTAGATCCCAGTAACGAGAGTCGAATCTGAAACACACAGGACACTCGTAAGTGCGAAATTGCTTCGTTTCCACATTGAATAAGACATTCTACTTGAAGATAACCAGCCATACTGTATTCCGGCGCCCAAAGAGGATATGAGACAGTAGCAGAACACAAAAATGAATTTAGAAATCTAGTTTGAAAACAGTGTTTGGTTTTGCTGTCAAATAGATGGCGATATCTTCAATCCTTGTTTGTCGTCTCTCTAATGCCTATTTTAATTGGATCTTCTAGCGTGTTAAAGTAGGCATTAGAAGCGCTAAAAATACATTGGAGATTCTAACGCCATCTATGAGTCAGTAGCAGAACCAAACACTACCCTTTTCAATGTGGATTTTAATTCAATTTTGTGATCAGCTACTGCCTCATAGAAGCGCTAGTATCTGAAAGTATACACAAGAGAAGCGAGCAAAAGAAAGTGAGAGAGTAGCAGAACGAAACACACAAACTCTTTTCAAAGCGGACTTCTAAAGTCATTTTTGTGTTCTGGTATATAGGTGAATATACCGTATTTGGGTGTTCGGAGTCAACTAACAGAAATAGCTTATTTTGTTTTCATATTCATTATGTCACAAGACTATATATTTTGATTTTGGCAGCTTTTATAGGTACCAGGGGATGACATTTCAACTATGAAAAATATACTTTAAGCATGATATAAATACCATTAGTTAAATAAATTCAATAGTACTTTATTATAAATAACAATTCAGTCGATGTTGAAACAAGAGAATTGTGTAGATTGAGAACTCGCACGCCCTCAGGATAATGGTTATGTTTGGAAGCTCGACATTTTTTTGATAGCAAATCGCAGCCGCATTGTTTATAATATTTTTTATTATACAAAAATGGTAAAAAGTAGAAATAAGAAAAAGCAATTGTCATGAAAAGTGCCAGAGAAGTGACGCAGGGGTAGTGACAAGAACGTACAAAAAAATTAAGACTGATTAATTATTATAACATTGTATTTCACGAAATTTGTATTCGTTGTTTTTACGTAGTTTTTTACTCCGAAACCGCGCGAGCCGCGAATCAGAAGCTTAAATGCCAGGGCACTGCAGCTGCTATGAGGATCCCAAATAAACTTTGTTAATCCGATTTTTTAAAGGGTAGTAGAACTGAGAAAAGGCCCCTCCTGTATTATTATTATTATAATTATTGTTATCGATAACGTTCAAATCGCGAAATTGTCACATTTAGACGAAAATATCAAATTTGAACTACGCCAGGTGAGGGACACACAATTTTCAGGAACCGCTAAAAACGTCTTTTTATGCATTTATATAAATAATGTCTAGAGTCTTTTTTAATGAAAATATTTGTATCTAACAATACAGGGAAATATACATTTTGTTAATTTTCAAGCATATTCTGCATACATTTTAATTATCTTACCTTAATTTCATCATATGTTCCAAATAAAGATATTTTGCACTATTTGGATTGTTTATTTCCACAATTTGTCGATTTGACTAGTATTTTTCAGATCCCTTTTTGGACGCTGGAATAGATTGAATGGTTTGCTACCTATGGGGGCATAAAGTCTATTTGTCATCTATTGATCTGCTTTCGTTCATTGTCCTACCTAGAGACCAAGCCTAAACCATGCTGATTATTGCCAATAAGTGTGAAACAGCGCTGTACACGGTTCGCCCTCTATTGATCGGACGGACGAAAGCAGACTATTCATTTATTATGTACCTGCAGACTAGCATTTCTGTGCAAGGGCACGTTACGTTGCATATCAGGATAAAGTACTAAAGCTGAGGCAGCGCTGAGACCTTCATATGCGGCACCCAACCATAGCCAATCGTTCACAGACTTTAAAGTTTCAGCAGCTTGAGAATAATATGCTAAGCTTTCACTGACCAGACCTGACTGAAGACAGAGATCTCCTAAATGTTTTGTCATCCGACCTGTCGAAAAAATAAAACTATTGAATTTACATAAATAAATAAATTAACTGCAACGTACAGACTCTCTAGGAAGCAGCCAACCGTAAGCGAAGTCAGGCCAGGAAGAACGTGATGTTTATTGTCTTCCGCATTCTCCAGAAAAAAAAATGGTGGAGGAATACCATTAGTTAACGTACAACATCAAAGATACTCAGGTCATAAAATAAAAGAACACTAATGTTTAAAAACAATAAAATCAAGTAAGTATCATACTATTTCCCTACTGAGCTGATCCGTTTCCACACAATTTACGCAGTAGGTTTTCTCCCCTTTCCCTTCACAACAAAGAAATAGATGACGATGGATCCCTCGAGTACCGAGAATTCGGGACGTAAACTCACTCCTCTCTCGAAATGTCCGGGTGGAGGGTGGACTCGAGGGAATAACATCGACGATAAGATCTCCTTCAAGAACATCTGCGGATCAACAGCAATATTGATGCTGTTCACCACTATTTGCAGACAAATCGCCTAGCCATACTTTTCTTGGTTTAAACCAAAATCTCTAATTTAAGGAAGAACCTGGGGAGTTATCGCTTTTTTCCGCCGCAGTCTCTCCTATTCCAGATACGATTCTTTAGAATCAAGCCAGAAGGACAATTCTGTGGCTTTGGCTCAACTCCAGACTATACCCAAAGGCAGCAGCGTTGGCCGCAGTAGTAGACTCTTCGGTCTCCTGATCAGTCGCCGTGCGCTGTGCGGGTTCGAATACCGTCCCAAGAGAAATGTTTCTCTTGGCTATGGATGTTGTGATTATCCGTAGGTGGTAGACGGTCTCTGACTGTCGAACGCAGAGGTACCACCCGGCGGATCTCGTAGGCGGGGCCAGAATGTATGCATGTTGCATGCACACGTGTTCCATCGCTAGAGTCCGTGTGGCGTCCCCCCTTTCCCCTATAGCCCCACGGTACCCCATGGATGTTTAAGCCTTAGGATTTCATGGTGGTCGGAGTATAAAAAAAATTATTTGCTGCCTCTATCTCTCTCCCTCGGGCCATAACTGGAATGACCTACTTGAATACGTCGCGGTCAAGATCATCTTCTTGAACATAAAAACCTTCTTCAGAGGTAGTTCTTGGTGATTTCAAATTCCATGGTTGGGCTCAAACGAGACCGATGTAAAAGGTCGTGCTGTTAAACATGACATTACCCACGGACTCACCCAGCTGGTGACTCGAATTCGTCGGCAGTCTGTTCGTCAATAATTGAAATTATCCACGATGGGATGGAGGAATACATACCTCATACATTGAAAGTGCCTAAGCCAGTGACTACGGCTGATTCATCAAATCATGCGACACTGCTTGTCGGATCAAGGCACACAGAACCATCTTACAATTCCCCACTATACAGAATAGACAAGCCGATCTCGATTCCAGAAACAAATATAATGAAGCGGTTTGCAATGTCAAAGATACGCAAGATGCAAAAATTAGGCTCAAGGTAATGTCGAAGAGCAATGGCAGTCGCAGTCGAACTTTCTGGACGCTGACCAAGCAGATTGAGGGGAACTTCTCAACCGCTTACGTGTCAAGATGGAACGATTGTAACCGACTCAAAGGCTAAGGCGGAAGTCCTTGCCAAGATCTTTGCTGCCAACTCCACCATGTCTGTTACAAGTAAGGCCATAGAGAGGGGTGAATAAAGCGGGAACTTCTGGAGTATATTGAACGTCACGTCTGATTAGCGACAGGCAGTATGATTTCAAGCACCAGCGATCCACGGGGGACCTCCTAGCTTACGTCACGCAACTGTGCAGTAAACTCATCCGGTCAAATGGTGAAGCTCGTGTCGTTGCTCTTACATCACAAGAAGCTCCCTAGCGCTCATCCGGTTTCGATGGATGGCCGGTGCTGGTCAAAGGAGGGCAGTCCGACTGATCGAAGACTTTTCTCTAACGGACAGTCGCGGGATCCTTTCGTACCGACGGGACGTCGGCGATCTAGCTGTCTTCTACAGTTATGTCAACGGGCTTTGCTTCTCAGAACTGTCCTCCATGATGCCGACGTGTAATGAGCCTGCCAGGCAGACCCACCTGACTTCGGCATCTCGTCCTAACTGAGTGGAACTTCGAACATCCAGAACTCACCCCTCCTTTGTCCCTAGGATATCGAGATTGTGAACAATCTGCCTGAGGAGGCTTTCCCCTTAGGCAGTTCAAAAATAGGTTTAACAAAGTGTCTCAAAGCTCCTCGTAGTAGCCGTGGTGACTTGTTTTAGGCTCCTGTCTACGCGGCTGCTTCTGTATTTAAAAAAATAGTTTCTCAAATTTTCCAATCATACAACATAGTGGTTGCTGAATGAACGGCAAATAGGTGTAGAAGCCAAAAAATTGAATTATCGAAAGAAAAACGTCAAACCGCGAAGGTATACACTCGGAGATAGACAGGTTTGTGAGCATTTTTATATGTAGACTATTTGGCAAAACTGCTGTTAAGAGCAAATCTATTCAGGATTAAAATATCTGGTTTAAAAAAGTAATAAATGAAGGTTAATTGGTCAACTTTAACTGGGGCAAAACAACACGTTAATTTGAAAGGGTAAGACAAAACCTTAAAAGTCCAACACAGAGACAACTCATACATTATTGTTATCAGCATATATTGTAACTTTTTTTATAAAGGAGTAAATTTAATAAAAATAAATGAAAAAGGAAAACAGTATTTATATGGGTGGTGTTGTTTATTCAGCAGCTGCTATGTTGTATGGTTATCATTTTACAAACTCATACTATGGAAATTGCATAATTTTATAATTTTTTAATCTTATTACTGAACAATATTTGATTTTGTGTGGTTTTTCTCCATTTTTTTATTGCTTCTCTCGACACAGGACTCCACGATGTAAACAGTTCCTTCATTTATATTTTAATGGTTTTAAAGGACATTCAATATTCAGAAGCTGGACTTGAACAAAGAATCACGTTCTTTCTGGCCTGACCACGTTTCAGGTTGGTTGCTTCACCGAGAATTTGTCCTTTGTACTTAGCTAGTCAGCCAAGACTGCCATCCTTCTCTGTCTAACCCAGTAACTGCAAAATACACTTTTTGTAGCGCTGCTAGGAATGGAAACAGCCAGGTGTTTAACAACATCTATCATTTGTTCAACAGCTTTGATTTCGTTTCAAGAAATGATCGCATTTCACGAAATGGCCGACTAAATTTGACCTTATCATTGAATCGTCAACGTTTAACGATTTTGTCATCTACGACTGATCATATCGTAAAATAGGGTCTCCAATAAAAATTAGAAATATGTTACGAACTTGTTTAATTGTTCTCTAAGTACGACAACCATTTTTGATTGAAACTACGAAATTAAAATAAAATGATTATATTAAAACATTCTTAAAATGCACACGTGTCACAAATAAATATTTTGAACATATCAGATATCACAAACTATGTTAGTTATGCTATTTCGCATGGTTACCCTACTCTGCTTTATTTGACGTATAAACTAAAAATGAAATAAAACTTGAGATGAGTTTTACACACGTAGAATAATACAGAACTTTAATAGACAAACACAATATTTTAGCGGGCACGCGATTTTGGCTTCCAATAAATGGATGATAATTTAAGAGTGAAGTACTAACCTGTGAAACACTTTCCGAACTCCACGGCTTTTGGTAGTACCTTTTTGTCGTAAAGTCCTAATACCCATTTTTTTGTCATTTGAAAATGAGTTACTAGAATGTTCACTTTGTTATTAAATTGAAATGTAAATATGGCAGCGCTCTATCGGAATTAATGTACATAACATGCTTGACAATTTCATGAAGTAGCCGCGCTTTTAGTTGACCATATTGTTAAACGATTTATCATTGATCTGGTCAATGCAGATCATGATCTGGCCAATAGATGATACATTTCATGAAATATGATCATTTCATATGGTATGGCCATATGACATATATAACGAGAAGACTGAATGCTTACCCGTACACCTCTTCTTGTTATTTCTAGATTCCATATCCAGTCCAACGAAATCCTTTTTTTCGAATGGTGCTAACAAAAGAGAAACTCTCTCCAACTTCTCTCTAGACCTCTCCAGCCTTTTCGACTCCAACACCCAGAACAATGAGTTGATAAATTCGTTAAGCTGCGTTTCCAAGTCCATACACGTAGATGATTCGTCGTAGAACAGCGCTCTTGTTTTGAAGTTACTCGGCGTCGTGAATTTGTCTACTATCTCACCACCTTCGACAAAAAAATTAAGTCAATTAAAGTGCTATAACATTCTCCAAAAAGATACCAAATCCTATGATAAATTTAACACTTACTATCAGCATTTTCCGACTTAGTATCTGTATCAGAACTGCTAGACCCAGGACTTGCCTTCTCATCGATCTGAGATTCTTGGTTTTCCTTGGTAGGCCCAAAGAATATGCATCTTGAATCAAATAGTGTGTTGTTGTACTTGACCTTCAAACTCTCATGTACTCTGCATATTTCGTTCAATTCTTGTTGAGAGTCATATTTCCCCAATGAAATCAAACCAAGCAACCTGAAAAAAAAACAGAGAAAAACTATACAAATCTTGTTGGATCTAACGTAATTGTTTAATTTTAAGCATGGAATCAAGCTCAAGTTTCCTCCCTTCTACTAGTAGCTTTTTATGATGAAACTAGCGTAAGCCCGCGGCTTCCGCTCGCGTGGAAGTAGTGTAAAGTATAGGTCAGACGCCTTGCATTACTTTGAAGGCGATTAGTTTCGGAGAACGAGATGCAATATTCAAATTATGCAAGAGTTATTTTGGTAATGTGTCTTGTTCAACAGTTTAATGCAACGATATACATATACAAAATGCGAATGTTTCTCCAGTCTGTCAGCATCACGTCTGAACCACCATATGAAGAGACGTAAAGACGTGAACACTTTCTAATTAATATCCGAGTTATGTTAAGAGGCATGGTTTTATCCGCGAATTCATCGTTGAATTTGCTAATATTTCCATGCACTACCTGAACACTCCAAATACTTAGTGCTCACGTAATTTTTGGAAAAAAGGTTCTAAGGAAAGTGGATATCAAAATTACTTTGTGTGAATTGGCACTCTATCACTATGACCAAAGTACCTTTTCCTATAACCCTCTTTCATATCACTCACATGATAATTTTTTGTTTAGAAAAAGGATACCACGCTAAATAGTGGAAGCTCGCCTTAGGCCCGTATCGTCCAGTCGACCCGACAATTGTAGGGCACTTTTATGCCTCCTGATATAGTTTTTTGCTCCGTTCAGAACTCTAAGTTTGTCAAACTCTACTCAATTGTGCTTGCTATGAGTTATAGCATGGTTTATCACCGAATATCTCAATTTAAAAGAAACATATCTTCACAATAGGAGAGCGCTGACGCTGACACGGGACAAGTGTAATCTAGAAATTTTTGAAGGAGAGAAAGGAGGATGACAATCAAGGAGGCCATAAACGCGCTCTACAATTGTAGGGACGACTGACGATACGGGCCTTAATTATACCTTTGCCTCATAGTTCAAATCCTACTGAACTTAAACATCTTAGACCTATAAGCTTGTTATCAGTGTTTCCAAATATTCTAGAAAAAATCATACAGAAACTATTCAGATTATACTTGAAGTAAAACAAAACACCAAGCAAATCTAAATCAAGAAGATCGTGCTAAAAAAAACGAATTTTGAAATGCAGTAAATGCACCTCATGTCAAGCTCCATTGAGCTGTTTGAGCTGAAGCCCGTGAAATATATATTTCCAAGTTATTTCCCGGAGTAAAAAGTAGCTCATGTGCTATTTTTTATTATAATCTATATCTGTACCAAATTTCATCCAGGGTTATTTTGTAAAAACCCTGTACAATGTCAAAAAATACACACACATATTATATATATACATATAACATGTCAACTTGTTGACTAGGTAGGCTAGTGTGCAATTAGTTCATTCCGCGCTTGCCACAAGTGAGCATGAAGTGAACGACAGCTAGTTCCAATTGGACGTATTGTAGGAAAACCTACATAATCTCAAAAAAAAGCCGACATAATGTCACTTTTCAAGTTACGTAGTGTCCCAGCCGTTCAGTCATTTGGATGTGATTAGGTAACAAACGTCCACACTGTCTCATTTATAATAGTATGTTCACTTTGATGATGCGAGGGAAGGCCCTGTTGGAATCTTCTGTTTCCTCAACAGGGCTTTTGCCTGCTTCGAACATGACGCACTTTTGGATAGACTAGCATGCCTGAAAAATCAGCCTTTAGATTGATTGCAAACCCTCATTACAAACAGAAAGCAGTACTTATACTATAGTGGTACTAGGGTGGAAGTAAATTCTATGAGTGAAAAATCTTTGATGCATGTCCCTCAGGGACCTTTTTAGACCGTTTTATTTTTGCTTTATGTAAACGAGTTACCTAAGATTACACATGTTGCATTGATAACCTTATTTACAGGTTTGATGCATGTCCCATGGGAGGCTGTTTTTAGTTTTATTTTTGATTTATATAAACGAGTTACTTAAGATTGTACCTGTTGCACTGATAACTTCATTCACAGGTGATACCTCAATTATAACTTCTGGTTCTTTTAATTAGTTTATATCAACGGGTTAACTCTGTTAAAAATTATAGCTTATCATTTTGGAAGCTTATTAAAAATTCAAGGGATGTGTTCATGGAACAAAAAGAATAATCAGATGCTTAGCAGGTGTTAGTGGTAGAATATCATTTAGATATCTGTTTAACAGATTGAAAATACTAACACTTGGTTGGTTTATACATCTTGGAAACTTGTTTACATATATTTAAAAATAAGAATAAATTCCCAAAACACAGCCAAATGCATTTGATTAACATGATGATTAATGAAGATTTCTACATATATATCATTGTATAGAAATCAAATTATGTGTAATAAATAAATATTATTGACCTCCACATGTTTAACCTACTGCCTTTGGAAATAAAGAATTTCCACAATTTAAAGACACTCAAGATTTTCATAAAATACTTCTTAATTGTAAATAGCTTTTATCATATAAGAATATTGTAATATATCCCATTCATTTAATTTTCACTATTTAACTGCATGTGTGCCTACAGGAATTATTCTCAGGGGATCAATCATCAGCAAGAAGTAAATTTTTGTGCGAAATGTTGGAAATTGCCTGAAATATGTAAATGGTATGGTAGTTCAAAGTCGACAGTGCAGGACTGGATTAAAAGAAAACATTAGTTTCTTGTTCATTTTAATGTAGTTCATATATGTTTTTGTTTCATTAAAAGGAGTCAATATAAGTGAGTTCAATACCTTTTCTTCAAAGTCTCAATAACATAATTGATTTAAATTCTTTATTCGATCAGAAATTTTTAAATACAGCTCTGTCCTAAAACTTGCCTTTTGAACACTGTCCAACAATCAGCAACTAGCTTGCCAACTAGTAGCACCTTCTGTCTGAGTACTGCCAAAATAGCAGTTGATTAATTTTTTTTTATTAAATTACATGCATATCTATAAGCAATATTTGTAGTCTGCAAAAAGTTAACAACATGTATGACTACCTCCAAAAACAGTTTATTTATCTTCAGCACAAAATTTAGAATTACACTTCGTATTCCGTTTTTGTCTAAACTGTCCTGCCACTGGCACATTCACCCTATGCCAATTTTAAGGTCCTACTGGATTCCCAGGGTGGTCGTGGCACCTCTGGTACCATCCAGTGGGCATCCATATTTGAATGTTTTTTATTAAATATAGTTTTTTTTTTTAGCTTTAAGCTCATATTGTATAACTAATCTTATACAATCCTTTTTGTAGGTGGAAAATTAAATAAATGCTGCTTGAAATGATAAGAACCAATTGACAGAAATGAAATAGTTCAAACTTCATAGACAGATCCTTGTATAGTCCTGATCAAGCAATTAACGTTTCTTTATATTTCTGAGGTTCCTAACTAATTTTCTCTATGAAATAGATATGTATTGTTAAGTGCAATTATCAACAGAAAAAGTAAAATTATGTACATATTTTATTCTTTACCTCCTATGTGTCTGAAAATCTCCCCAATCATTATTCTCCACAGGGTACTCCTTCACATAGCGCACCAGAATATTCCTGGCTAGACCAGTGGAGTCAGTAACTCTGATATTGCTGAGCTTTGCGATCCGATCAAAAAACTTCGTGTAGGTTTTTTGCTTCAGTTGATCTCCAATGAGACGCACCAGCACCAGAAGAGCTGCATGGTCATGTGAGTACTGTTCGTAGTCAGGGTGAGACATGTTTGGCTCACTTGTACTACTTGATAATATGTAGCTGACTGAAGAACGCATTTGAATGCTTTAATCGATTTTACAAGGCATAACTGGAACAAGAAATAATGGTTTACATTAAAATATTATGGCAATAGACAAAAACAGAATAAAGGACTAAAAAACGTAAAAGGGTTTATTCTTTATTCTTCATACCTGAGGCACTAGAATGTCAGAATATTTCAAATTTTAGGTGGTAATCAGTCATTCCTTTCTGTTTAATTTAAAATTTTTAAATCAGCTGTGAAGATGTAAATATGTCAATTCGACTTTGACATCCTAACGTAGCATAAAGCATAAATCAAATCCAAGCGAATAACCAAAATTTCTGTGTTATGTGCCGCGGTTATAATATGGTTCAAGATGACACACGGGTTGATGACGTCAGTTACACGAATCGCTTGAACGCGTTGGTTTTAACCTCGGTTTTGTTGCAAGTTGTTTATTTTAGAAAAGCGCGTATATAATCTCTGATTATTTTTATTATCACTTAATAATCGGTGCTTTTTCGTCTACAACTGTATATGGAAAGTTTAAATAAGAAACCTTTCATAATATCCATGGGAGAAATGTTTTTTTCAGATTTTTTTTTAATGATGGAACCATGGCTTTGTAGCTATGATAACTTTCAATTCTCTAAATTTTTCCGCATGTCAAAGAAAACATTTATTGATTCAGCAGAAATGATGAAAAAAGAAATTAGCAAAACCGTATACAGGTGGATATCATCTAGTGAGTTTATATGGCCATATTTTAATATTCTTGTGGTATATGGCTACACAGGATACTTTGTTAAGCATAGGAACTACATTTAAAGTGTTCCCAACAACCGTAATGAGTATAACTAATAAGGTGCTCCACTTTATGGTAAAACTGAAGTCAGCCTGTATCAATTTTCTCAAAAATGAAGCTGAAGTACAATAACAATATCCAATACCCGGCAAAATTCTAACTTGTCACATTTCAAATAATAACCAGAAATATAAAACTACTCTTGAGTTGGGTAAATACCACAATTTTGCGGTGATAACTATGACATATAACAGCTGATTCGTGACGTCACGGATCTAATAACCAAACTGATAACTACACTCGCTTGAACGGATTGGTAAATACCAACCCAAAATGGTAAATACCAGTTCCATTTGGTTATCCGCTTGAATTTGATTATATATTTATAATTATGACAAAAAACTTCTCAAATGTCAATGAGCACAATGAATTTTGAATACACGACGCGTACACGCTGTGAGCGTACTACAGTTCTGCGGTGGTGCCAATTGCACTTGCTTGATAATTCTGAGAGAATGGAATATGTACTCGTAGTCAAGTAAATTTTCACACTATTTTCTTTGCGTTAATGTAAAATCTATTCAACGTTTGCGTACCCAATAAGTTTAAAAGAGATACAAAAATACAAACTTTTCAAAGAAATGTAAGCTTGTGATGATTGTAAAACCTATAATTGTTTGCCATACATGTACTGTATGTATGTTGATAAAATAAACTCATTGTCTTTGATAAAATCTTTATTTATTTTTTCAATTGGTAGACAAGAGACACGAAATCGAGTAGAAATTATTTACTAGAAATCGTACTACGCTAGTATTACTCCTGCTCACCCTCCATATTTCTGTAGTTAGTAGAATAAACTTTATTATACAAGTGCTACTCCTCCTTACAATGTGCTTGTTGTATAAAATCCTGCTCTAAGCAAAGTTTATTATCAAAATTATATCAAAAAAAATCTGTCCGTGCACAATCAATTATTTTGGTTTCAATGGGCTTTACAAGACAATTTAAAAATTTTCTGTGGCTTATAAAACATGTTAACTTGAGATTATTTTGTGAAAGTCAGGTATATTATGATTTATTTTACGTTGTTTTACGTTTATAAGTGAAATACATGTCTTGTGTCATAAATATTTTATTAAAATCGACGGATTTGGGAATCTGTCTAAGGGGGGCGCAGCGGTAGATGCAGCATTCATGAGTCTAGCAAGGTAATGCTTACTTCAATATACAGCAACATACTGTTTTCCTTAACAAAACAAAATTGTGGTTTGTGCCCTCCTTGTCCCCTCTATATCATCCAGTGCTTGATACGTTCCAGCGTTATAGAGAGGTCAAGTTGAAAAATCCTGGAATGGGATACATATTGATCCGCTTTGTATATGGGTCAAACCTAAAATTCCACTTTCTGTATTGGCGGGTCATATCTCATAGATCAGACTCATTTTTTTTGCTTTGAAGATGGGTGGCTGAGTTTACCTCTCGTCGCAAGATATCCGTCGTAATTGACAGGTTCTCCTCTTCATCCCACAACTTCAACGCGGGTCTTGGTTCCGACACTGTTCCTCTTACATTACATATCAACGACCTCCTTTCCTGCACGATCAACCCAATCCACAGCTTCGCTGATGATAGCACTCTACATGCAGGAATTCAGAGTGACTGGTCGATCTCTGCCGCTGAGCTGGAAAAAAGAAGACAAGTGACGACTTCCCCTCTGATGAGTGACCTGGAGGTTATCACTGCTTGGGGACGCAATAATCTTGTACAGTATAACGCTTACTGTACTTTGACAAGCAAAAAGCGTCCTAGACCTTCTCACTCTATACAAGGCCCAGATCAGGCCTATCCTCGAGTATTGCTCACACGTTTGGGGAGCTGCCGCTCCGACTACATTATCCATGCTCGATGCTGTCCAGAGGATGGCGGTCCGACTGATCGATGACTATTTTCTAACAGACAGTCTCGGGACTCTTTCGCACCGGCGGGCCGTCGGCGATCTAGCTCTTTTCTACCGCTACACCAACGCACCAACGGGCTTTGCTCCTCAGAGCTCTCTTAAATGATGCCGCCGCGCGATGCGCCTGCCAGACTGACCCGCCTGACCTTGGCGTCCCATCCTAAGCGTGTCGAACTTCATACATCCAGAACTGGCCGATACGACCGCTCCTTTGTCCCGAGGGTGTCGAGATTGTGGAACAATCTACAAGAGGAAGCTTTTCCTAGTTCTACTAACCTTAGGCAGTTCCAAAATCGTATTAACAAAATTTCTTTGCTTCGGTATATATATATATAAAAAGATGATATAAATATGGAGAAATCATTGAGTATGAAAAGCGAGCCTAGTTCTTTTTGCAAATAAACTTTTCACCATGTATAGATACCTAATTGAAGAAATATGTCTTTGTGAGGTTACAACAAAAATGAGAATTAGTCAAAGTCGCTGATAGTGCTTATATATTGAAGGTAATCTGATAAGTCAAATTAGAGCAGCTTGGTTGTAATATACTTGTAAGGAATTAAATTAATAAGATGAAATCATGGTACACAAAGTCAATTGTATAGTCATAATCACGACTAATTGTATCTTGAACTGTCAGACAGCCACTGATATATAATGGTATAATTTAATGGGTAAGTCAATGTAAATAGCTAATTATGTAAATATAGTCCATAAGTTCTGGCTTACCCCATTACATTTTGCTTAGATCCATTAGAATTAACAATCAAGAATAAGGAAAATGCATGGTAAAACATATGACCAGTAATTATCCAACATGTTTTATAAACTACCAAGGCATACGTTTGGAAACAAAGCAAAAATCTGGAAACATTAGGATAACCGATAATTGCAATATCCGCTGAGCTTGAAGTAGATAAAAATCCTATAAATTAAAGAAGATGTACATAAATTACCCTTTGAGCGTAGCACGCTGTGTAATAGTCGTAATAACATACTTAATATATTTAGGTGGCCAAATGGAAATTTGCATTCTGACGTTTACGTAAACAAGTCAATCCGTATCCGACAAATGACTGAAATCTAAAATAAACATCCGTCTTTGTAAACAAAGACGAAATATCGAAATGTGCATGTATAGTGGATACCAAATAAAATCCGATGCACGTCATAGGTGATGTCATTCATAAAAATCATGGTTACCAACAGTTGACTACATTCAATGTGAAATTTCTCCTTGAAGTTTAAATTTCCCCGTCTCGATTCGGTTGGTAGTGCCGTGCAGAGAAATGTGAGGTTGCCACTTCTCATTTGTTGACATCAGTTGCCATTGTCCTTTTGTCGTACTATTAGTCCTTTATTGTTTAGTTTGTGAGTTTTGCGCTATTTGAGCTTTGAATCGTTGCCTTGCCAATTAAAAGTTGTTCTTTTCAGAACAAAAGTTACTGTGAAGTGGTATAAAGTATCCAAAATGCCAAAACAACTTAACAGTCGGTGTAAAGAGCTCATATCAATTCTGGCAACAGCGCACAGCTCCAGATCGATGACGTGCATCGGGTTTTATTTGGTATCCACTATATAGTGGATACCAAATAAAATCCGATGCACGTCATAGGTGATGTCATTCATAAAAATCATGGTTACCAACAGTTGACTACATTCAATGTGACATTTCTACTTGAAGTTTAAATTTCCCCGTCTCGATTCGGTTGGTAGTGCCGTGCAGAGAAATGTGAGGTTGCCACTTCTCATTTGTTGACATCAGTTGCCATTGTCCTTTTGTCGTACTATTAGTTCTTTATTGTTTAGTTTGTGAGTTTTGCGCTATTTGAGCTTTGAATCGTTGCCTTGCCAATTAAAAGTTGTTCTTCTCAGAACAAAAGTTACTGTGAAGTGGTATAAAGTATCCAAAATGCCAAAACAACTTAACAGTCGGTGTAAAGAGCTCATATCAATTCTGGCAACAGCGCACAGCTCCAGATCGATGACGTGCATCGGGTTTTATTTGGTATATAGTGGATACCAAATAAAATCCGATGCACGTCATAGGTGATGTCATTCATAAAAATCATGGTTACCAACAGTTGACTACATTCAATGTGACATTTCTACTTGAAGTTTAAATTTCCCCGTCTCGATTCGGTTGGTAGTGCCGTGCAGAGAAATGTGAGGTTGCCACTTCTCATTTGTTGACATCAGTTGCCATTGTCCTTTTGTCGTACTATTAGTTCTTTATTGTTTAGTTTGTGAGTTTTGCGCTATTTGAGCTTTGAATCGTTGCCTTGCCAATTAAAAATTGTTCTTTTCAGAACAACAGTTACTGTGAAGTGGTGTAAAGTATCCAAAATGCCAAAACAACTTAACAGTCGGTGTAAAGAGCTCATATCATTGAATATCACCTAAATCAGGTGTTTTTATTCAGAAAGGAATTTAATTTTACAACAAGTTTATTTATTTTTAATATAATGGTATTATAGTAAATGGTAGGTATATATAAACAATTTATTTTATTAAATTTATTTGCTTAAAAGAAAATGTGCAAATTCTGGCAACAGCGCACAGCTCCAGATCGATGACGTGC